GTGGTAAGAAAAGTTTACGATTGGAAGAGCCTTTCATAGAAAATAACTAACTCAAGGAAAAGCACTGAATACTAAATGAAAAAGTAACAGAATTAATGCTGAACTTATATTTCTTCACACCGAAAAACAACACAAAACAAAATTATAAAAAATAATTAAATTAAATGCTTAAATTCACAATTATTGTAATAAATCTGAAAATGAGGTAAACCTGATAATTATGCACTCATAGTACTATATTTTATACAAGCAGATTAAATTTTTAATTTTTCTTTTCCAAATATTTGATTATTTAATATAAAAATATTTTTAACTCGAAATACTGATTACTCATTTGTTTATAAATTATATTGATGAACCTTCAAGAATAGTAAACATAAACTTTCTGAAAAATTGAATGGAAAAATTTGTGATTTTCTTGTAATATATGTTAATATTGAAACTACTGTACTTATTCTGCTTTTATCAAGCATATTCGTCATCACTTAAAAGTAAATAGATGCGTACTTTCAAAAATCGATGAAATATTTGAAGGTTTAATACAGAGCTTAACACCTTCCGTGCCACGGAAATTTCGGTTATATTTTACTTATGAACTGTATTGATCTTTTAAATAAAATATTCAGTTATATTCAAGTTTTTGGTAATTTTTATATATTTTGACATAGTCCCTTTACGTTCTCGCTGCTTTATAATGCATACCAGCATCTCCGTGACCATGTATCCCTTAAAAATATTTTCTTTCCATATATGGTACACGTGGCACTGAACGTGTTAATACAGTTAGAAAATAATAATACATGTTAGCTAGATACAAAAACTAAACATGTACAATATGTAAATAATCTAAAGGGAACCATGTTTCGGAAATAAATACTTTCCTTGTAAATCGTTGTTGAAGTTTCCATGCAAGAGTGAAGGATCGCGATATCCAGTATCCTTTTCTGTCATACGAATATCGGTTAGTTGGGGTAGCGAGTGCAACGACTGTGTTTTATTACGGTACGAACTAACAAACTGTGATGCAATTTGACAGAGAACGAAGTCCTATGGCGTCGAGTCCGGTAACCCATCGTATATTAGAAGGACACTGAATATCGCAATCCTCCACTCTCTCATGAGGACTTTAACAGTACATAATTAACGAACAAACGAATGATTTTCGACCCATTTTTCTTTTTAGACTATTTACCTCCACAATGTGTAAGTACAATACGATTTAGCAATAAAGAGTTTTAACTCATTTTCTCAAGGTCAGATAAATTTTGTGCCCACTTGCTTACACCCTTTTCCATCAAATCAAAGGTACAGTCGCGCTGTGGCGTTCGTGATGTTTTCATTTGGGACACTCGAATTTTTTCACGATAAATTATTTATTTTTTTAAATACACATGTAATTCTCCTTCGTTTTTCTTTAGTTTTTCGTCATAATATGTTATTTGCCCTGCATTTGAAGAGTTCGATCCACTTCGTTGTTTGATTTTATTGCGCGTATAATACAAGATTTTTAAAACTAAATTTTACAGTTAACAGGTTAACGTGTTAATGGAAGAATACGATCTTGAATGCATTCAACTGAATTTGTTCTTATTGGTGTCATAGGAACCTATTCAAAAACCATATGTTTTCACCTCCTTACGATTTCATTAAAACTTCGCATATTCAACTTTCATTCATCACCTATATATGGGTCAACTGTCCCTAGTGTAATTTCTAGCCCTACGATAGTGGAGGGGAAGCGTAAAGTACGCATTTGGCAAAATGTTTCGGAGGTTATAACCATTGACTGGAAATAGGTATGGGTTTGATTCTAAAACTAATTTTTGGGCATTTCTTTGGTTTCTGTGCTTATGAAAAATTCAACAAAATTGCAATACCGCATATACGTTTTGAAAAACTATTCGTTTCACAGCTATAACACAAAATTCAATTCAATGTTGAATCTGCGATGCAGAAATAGACGTTTCAGTTGAACTTTACCATGAGACACGATTTTGTTAAAACTCTAAAAATTTTAAAGTTGTCCGTCGAATGCTTCATTGCGAAATCTACATTTTTCCATTTTTTGGAGGATTTTTCCATTTTCACGCTAAGGATTAGTCATGTACTGCTATGCTAATAATGTTTCCGAATTTTTCCACAATTTCCATGGAACATTAAACAAGGAAAATAAGACGAAAATTGATAATTCGAATGTACCCTGTAACTATCTTTCTGATTGATATAGGGGGCTGAAAATTGATGTACAACGTTTTCTATGAGTAATTTGCCGAAGGAAATATTTTTGAGAAAAATCGGTCTAAGAGCACTTTTAACCTTTCGCACTCGACAATATTTTTCATTACAAGCATTCATTGTTTTCTGGCGAAATATTAACAATATTATTTGCAACTTACATAAAGAAACATCTTGCATAAATTATGAGGCAGAGTTGTTTTATTTCTATGTTTTATTTGTTAATACCTGATTCAACATTTTATATTAAATTTTTCTGTTCACAATTTTGTTACGTTCAATCAAAGAGTTAACCCCCTTACCCTGCTGTACGCTTTATCATGTCTGCCCAGTATGCGATATCGATGCTTGTGTATGGATAAAATGCCAAAAGCAGTTAGTTCTAAAGAAATGCAAAACATTCGAAAATTGCCAGGAGAGAATTACCAATGTACACTGTGATGGAAAGAATGAACAATAAATATTTACGAATGTTTTGTAATCGCAGTACGTATGTAAATTGACTAACCGTTATACTAAATGTTTACAAGTAATTGATGACTTTGTAGGAAAATGATAAATGAAAGTATATGTTAATAGTAAAATAAATTTTCTATGCATTTAGTTTTCTGGAGCTGGAGAGAGTAACTTACTTATTAACCGACCCATGTACATTACCTAAGAAACAATTACTTAGCCGATGCTTTTTAAGGTGAAAAACGATTAACACGGAGTGATCAAGGTTCGCTAAATTTTTCATTTATGTTACGTGCAAGTTTTTTTTTTAACAAGTATATTACCATACCACACTTTACTCGTGCTTTTGTTTCGAAGTTGGTCATTTATGTGGAACATTATCATCATTATTATTATTATTTTCCTAAGCATGCATATCCTTTTCATCAAAACCTACAATAACAGAAAGATATAATATTATATTGAATTATCTGGAAATAAACTGCAGTTTTTGGGCCCAAAAAAATTTTTCTGGTGTAATTTGCTATCAATTAATTTACTTAATCCAAATAAAATCCATTATATGGATTAACAGATAACGATGTGTATCTATTATTAATTCATGCTATTATGAAAATCAGGTGTTGTAGAGTTGATCAATTTTTCGAATACATTTTTAATTTTGCCTAATTAATAACCTTCCAAATATCTAAACAAGTGATAATCCGTTGGTAACCGATCAGATGTTTAAGCCGAGTGAGGCAATGTTTCATAATTCAATTCGTGGAGCGTCCGAAGGGTTAAATGCGAAACGTGTCGTGTAAGAGAATAGGCCCTTCTCGATTCACCGAACTGTGTTATTTAATACGCAATTTAATACACAAGCTTATGGCAATACTTAGCTGCCATAATTGTTTCGCCTCCAGTTAAGAATCTGTAGTTATATAAGACCCTCTGCCTCGGTAAATAGTTATGATCCACTTTTATATCGGGACAAAAGCATGAAAATGTTTCGTAGCGATAACTTTTTTGTTACTTGCTCAATTCATGGAGAAACCATGTGACAAACCTTCTTTGTTTTTCCAACTTCTTTTAACACTAAAACTACTAGATAAGTCAAATTGATCTGCTTCCGAATTTTTATTTTGCAAGTATTTTAATTATGAAGTCACCTTTTTTGGAAGATTTTAAATTACATTTGTGTATTTGTATAGATATAGCACTGGTAGTCCTTGGGAATTTCAAGATACGTATTGTTCTGATTTTTACATATAAAAATGGAAATATGTCACTCTAATTGCTCGGTTGTTTTAGTGTTAAATCTGCAGACACGATTGTCTTACTTAGATCTCATTTCTGGCTTAGTTATCGGACTGTTGCACATAGATTTCCATCGACAATCTTTTTTTAACGCTTGATTATCAATTATGAAATCGGAGGTCTTTCTCAATGTTTCTTTTGGTCAAGACTGTTGTTGCCACTATGAAATCTTTTAAATCAAAATTTCACTGTTCTTTCGGATGTCGTATTTTCACCAAATGCATAAATTAACGCTTCGTGCAGTTTCTACCGTACTGCGACCCATTTTACACTTATGTAAGAGGACTGCGAATTCGCTTCCTCCTCATTGTTACGTTCATACACAAAATTGTAACGAATGAATGTTAAAAACAATGCCATAAGAAAACCATAGAAATACCTAGTGATAAACATACAATGAGATTTATTCCTCAAAATGATATTATATCACACAACAAAACAGATATGAGTACAAAGTTTATCAGGTGCAAAGTTAAACTGCTAAAACCTCAACTCATTTCCAAACGTCTCAATAGAAGCGACCCTATAACCTAGACGTTTTCCTACAAAGGTTAACCCTTTGCGGACGAAGATCCTTGAAAATATACGAAACCTTCAGTAGATTAAGCTAAATAATACACCAATTGCTTAATTAACAGGGAAAGGAGGAAACTACATGCTGATCTCTTGTTTGACTAATTCAATCATTTGTTCGCGACTTGGTTTTCCAAATACAACAATTTCATCTCGCTAGAATGCCGACATTCGTCCGCAAAGAGTTAAAACTATTTTTCGTAAAAGAGGCTAATCATTAGTTGCAATTGTACCCGGACTCGTAAATCCGGGCCAGATCATCTGGCATGACGGAGTTAAGTTCCGTTAAATTCGATTCACAGAAGGGAACGAAGGGAGTTGGTCCGATTCGCAAGTTCCCTCTGCAAAAGGAGCATCCCCGAAGCAGTGAGGTGATAAGGTGGCAACGTTAACGTACCTGACAAGAAGCGGTGGATCCTCGTCCGGGGCAACAGCTCCAGTCCCCTCCGGCGTTGGCGGTGTCCGTGGCGACGTTGCTCGTTCCAACGGTGACTGGCAACACGCCAGTCGGCACCGGCAGTGTTCCACTCTCGAAGTAGTCCCAGTCACAGTCTTCGAGGGATTGCGTGGGCCCAGCGCCGCGCGGCAACCCGTTCAGGAAAGAGGAGCTCGAGCAGCTGCTGTCCGCGTCGTCCTCCTCGCGACCGGAAGACGAGTCCGAACTGATGAAGACTAGCCGCCTGTAATCGATGGCAGGCTGATCCTGACCCTGACCGTTCCCGGTCGGACTCCGCTGTCTGCCACCACGGCCAATCACGTGCAACGCCTGCAGACCCTGAAGCTCCTCCGCGCAACAGCTTCTCGCGTGTGATCGTCCTCTTCGTCGCGAACCTGTTGAATGCAAACGGTTTCGTGTGTGGATCAGCCTGCTCTTTTTTCTTTCCTTCGTTCCGCAGTGCTCGATACGTTCGATAAGATCGGAGGAAAAGAACGGGCAGCGACAACCGGCGCGGTTGTCGACTTATCGCTGGATTATCGATACCGATGCAGATGTTATCACCGCGGATAGAGATAGCGGGCTAGGAGATCGCGATCCTGTGGTCGATTGGAACACGATAGTGGCGCAGTGGGACAGAGTTCGCTGTTACTCGAATAAAATATCGAGTAAACTTTTCCTAATACTGTGTACAGGTAACCCCCCCATAATACGGCACTTTTGTAACACGGTTTCGTTCTGACACGGTTCGAGAATTAGAGAAATCTCTGTACAACGCTTCAGGTTTTTAAGAGTAAAATTCAAATTTGGACAAGTCCCCGTACAACACGGAACGAAATAAGGGCTTTTAAAGGCACAAGATGTCTCGTTGGAAATTTTTCAGTATCAGATTTACCTGCAAAATTTTGAAATTTATTAGAATTTAAAATTCTATTTTGTTCGTGGAGCATTAAGTATACCTCAAAACTTTGTGTTTTTCTTTTTACTATATATATGAATTAGGTCTATTTACGGTCAAGATTACGGTGGAGAAGTTTCAAAAAACCGAGTTTTCTTATTCTTATCATATTTCACTTGAGTAGTGTTTGAAGAATGCGTACTTAAAAGGAAATTAAACAAATCTGACAATTAGTGGAATTATAGGTATTCTACTGATTGTCAACGCGAGTTAATCTTATCACAACGTTAAACTTTCAACTCGTTTTTCTCAGACTGCAGAATGCAGTTTTTCGAATTAGTGGAATAAATATCTCAACAATTAATTGATTCATTTAAATATTCTTTTTTTAATTAAAGAATATTCTTCTCTGCAAGTACTGATCTTCTAATATCTTCAGATTTACCATATTTATCAATTGTTAAACGAGGTGAAATAACGAATCAATGGCGAAAAATATAATTTTTATCTTTGAAACGCCAGAAGAAGTTGAACAAAACTGTTTTTCTTGCTCTTTTAGGTCCAGTACTTCGGGCATTTTATGTACTTTAAGAATATTTTTATTCTTTATCTGAGATATATCGTTGACGATCTAAAAAATCAGTTGAATTTTCTGCGGACCGTTACGAAAAGCAGCAGAAAGAGAAACAATGTGTATAACCGAGTATTTACGAGGTAAGAGAATGGGTGGCCCATCGCCTATGCTGTTTCCCGGTACGTATATTTACCTTTCTCATTTTAACGACAGAACGCGCTAACAAGCACTCTCATGCCCACCGATATCCACTGTACGATGTGCAATGAATTAATGATTAACCGTTAATCCGCTCGACTCTGACGATTTATGTGTACATCGTACAGTATTCAATTGGTCAAACTGACAAAGCGATTAATTATTCGCTATTTGTACTCCTGTTACTATAAAATGGTATTATTTCATAACGCATTAATGTTTTACAATTATCACTTTTACTTTTCATTGCAATTAACCTCCATATCAAAATTGATACTTTATAACAGTTTCAAAGAAATATTGCTATATTTAAACTATTTATTGATTAATTATTTATATTAGCGATTCCATACTGATTTGAACGACCTTGAAGTACGTTACTGAAGGTTCGATTCTGTACAATCAAGGATCATAGTGTATACGTTACCGCTGCTCGACTATAACTTCTGAAATATTGGCAAAAGATTTTGATAGTTATTTAGAAGCTTTTTAGAATATTTTTGAAATCTTTCCTTTTTAACACTAAAACCAGCAGAGGGAACAAACGACCCATGCCTGATGTCTTCTTTTTCCAATTATTAGAAAGGTAACAAATGTTTCTCTGAGAAATTATTAAAGAAATTCATTTAGCACTACGCAAATTGAATTGCAAATCAATTAAAGTCTGAACAGATGCACTCTTGGAGTTTCTATAGGGAAATTTTAAAAAGTCCATTGAACTGCTCGGTAGTTTTAGTGTTGAACTGTCTTGTAAGGCTCGGAAGAGAGACGATCATCTGTTAGTGTCGGATTTGGTGAACATGGTGGGTATGGAATAAATTCCCATTTTCCCAGTTTCGATATTTTTTTGCGTTGTCATAAGCATGCGTCATCTTGCGCCATCGTGAACATGCAGAACGCTTTCTCGATTTACAAGTAATGACCTCATAATGTGCAGTTCCTGTTCGATTTTTTCCACTTGTTGGCAGTGTAAAGCAGAGGCGATGGTAACACTCTGTTTGGGTAACTTGTAATAAATTATTCCAGGTATCTCCCACCGTACGAGTAACATTACTTTTATCATTTTTAAGCCTTTCTTACTTGTTCCTTAATCCGGTAAGTGTGAAATTCAGTTTGAAAAATCTCTTATTGTGCGCACAATGAAATCAAGCAATGTCATCAACTCGTCAAATACAGACCGAATGCACTTATAATATATTCTATCTGAAAGCTAAAACGAAACGAACAAGAATTACATGTTTGCCTAAAAAAATAAATAGTCTGTCGTTGAAAAAATTAGCACCATTTAGAGTTTTAAGATGACGCGATACTCGTCGAACGCAGTTGACTGGTTAAGAACGTTGCCCGGGTTGTGACCAATGCCGCTTTCTCGTCAAATTATTGTATACTACCCATTTTTCATCTGTAGTAACCAAGCGATGCAAAAAATCTTGAGTTTGTCTAGCGCGAAGTAAAACTCAGATCGAAACAAAGTCCAGTCTGTTTTTTGGCGAGATTTCGTGAGGTGCCAGGACGTTACTCTTTGAATTGTATCCGTTTTTATGGAGATGTCTTAAAACACTTGAATGGTGAATTCCAAGATGAAATTCCATGAATAGTTAGTTTTGAATTTTCATCGACTACTTTAGTCACTTTTGTTGTACGTCCATTTCGTGCACCGCCTTCAAGATTGTAATTTTCGCCACGGAACTTCATAAATCGTCGACGACAGGTACGAATGTTTACAGCACCAAGTGCAGAATAAATGTTTTTTCTTGCGTCTGATGCACTGTGACCGAGATAAAACTTGTACAGCATACAATATCCTAGATGCATCAGATTATTATTTATTTTAAATGCTTGCTAAGTACATCTCGATTGTATATCATTTTGAGCATCTCTCTATAAAGATATAAACGCCGCTCGAACTTAGTTTCATAGAAACAAACAAAAATATATTCAATACAACATATCGTGCGTTGTGCGCCGAATTGGGGTTAAATTTCGAAAGATGACTTATCCGGCCACACAGTGTCACGACTAAAGAGAAATTAGTTATATTAGTAATATTAACAAATATTATTTTATTGATTGTTGCGTGAATAATTTCAGCTAGTGAATTATTAAAGGTTCAAAAGACAGTCAAGAGTAAGTTGGAAGGTTGCACACGTGTCGATCAATGACACACATAGGGGTTCTCGGAGGAAGAGAAAGGGCTGCAATAATCGATAAAAGGAAGGTCACGTTTCATGTTTTCCCAAGAAAATAGTTTTATTTGCTACTTTTCTGACGAAAACCGAATGCGATAGAATACCATACAAGTTTGCGAAATATACGGTGCGAATTTTAACCCTTTGCACTCAAAAGTTTCTCAATGGAAATATTCAACATTTTCTAACGAGATATAGTTTGAAACTAATTTATCGATAATTCATAGATAAATTAAGCAATAGAGATGTTTTATTTAAATATTTCACGTAGCAATGCAAACATTAATTTGAAATATTAAATATTCAACTTCATAGTTTCGTTGTATCGAATCACGTGGTGACTGAGAGTCACCTCTCGAGTGCAAAGGGTTAAGTATATGTAGAATTGAAAATTTTGATAATTAAGAAATGTGTACATGAAAATTTTTACTTGTACGTATGTATGCATGCACATACAAGTCAATAAATGAGCCGTTTCCTTTTAAACTGGTATAAGTCGAATCTTGAGAAAGACTGAGTTAACGATAGTTTTAGTTAGGCATAAATATCTGCTTTTTATATTTATAATAACATACTCAATGACGTACAATATTCTCATAAATCAATGAAAAGAAATTTAAATATAAAATGTTGTTACAAAGGTGTACTACAGCCATTCGTAATAATGAATATTTTCTAATCGGTGTAATTATACTGATTATTAATTATTACAAACAAACAAAAATATGAATGAAAATATTACACATTGGTGAAAGATATGCTGAATGAGGTTTAAAAGGTTCTACGAAATTCTGTTTACGTAACAAAGGATCAAATAAGTCAAAAGTGTTGGTTGTCACGTTAATTGTAAGTAATTAAACATCACTTATTAATATTATTTCTACATATTACCTATACTTCTGAAATAAATATTCTATTGTACATTACGCTTCACGTGCCTCGATTCGAATATATAACTTTCACGATTAGTAAGGGAACTTAATCTCTCTAAGATAAAACTGAATCACTTTTCCAAATTTCCTTCTACTATTTTTTGTTGATTATTCAATTAGCGAGCGGCGATGAGCACGGATCACGCAGTGGAAGCAACAGGAAGAGTTGAACGCGTGTTGTGCCTGGTTTTCACACGCCGCTGAATTACCTGGTCAATGGCACGGGCCATCGTTTGGCCAGGTGTACGACTCACGGCCAGTCACGAGCAATCACGAGCAATCACGAGCAGTTACGAGCAGTCACGAGCAGTCACGAGCAATCACGAGCAGTCACGGGATCTCGAAACCGTGGGCTCGTGTTCTGTGAATGGTGTTCGCGTTCGGACACCGGATCCGAGTTTACAACGTCCAGGGAAGTGGAGAAGTCAAGTCAAGTGAGAAGGAGAGAGATAAAACAGATGGCAAAAAAGAAGTGATGAGAACGGATGAGAACGGATGAGGAGGAAGAGAGGAAGAAGAATGAGACAAAAGGAAAGGGAGAGGAAACAAAGAAAGAAAGATGGACGAGATCGTTTATTTGTGGAAGTGTGCGATAACCCCTTAACACGTTGAATGCCATGGGGGTCACCGGTGACCCCCGACCAAATCGAATTACTAGAGTTCATTCAATTAAACGATGATTATTTGAAAACATTTCTATATTATAAATAATGCCATCTAATGCGGTGCCATTCAGCTATGTCAATGTGCAATAATAATAATGCAATTCAAACAAATGATTTAACCGCTTGAGTGCTGAGGAGCGCTATAGCGCTCTTCTTGTGTGATGCCAAAATTGCGGAGAGCGCGGAAGCGCTTCTGTTTATCAGTATCAATTATAATTTTCTTGCTATGTTTTGTAAGAAACAAAACAAAGTAACATTATTTGAATAAATGTCATTTTTTGATACTTTTTTGTAATAACACAATATTTGTGATCTCATTAGATAAGTACTCTTATTAATTTCTTTGCATACACACCCAATCACTTCCGCATTTTTGGTAAATATCCACAAAAGTTGTTTAGCATCCGGACGGTTAATATTATATTTCTTTCATTTTGTGCATTTTGCTCTATGAAATCGTGCGGCTTTCAACGTGTTAAACGGAGACTGCGAGAAAGTGTGCATTACCGGAGTCGTCGAATACTTTAAGGTTGAGTAACCTACTACGCGTGCGACACTTCTCACCGGCGGAGATGTAAATGACCGTTTAAGGTGTTCGCGAGCAGTCGAGCTAAATTTAGCGTCATACTTGTAATTCATGAGGAAATACTATCTGGAGTAACAATACTTATTTTCAAACTACAGAGAAACTTTGAATGGCACGATACTTGAATTACACGAAGTTTCGAATACCACGACCAAAAATTGCAACGATCGTATTGTTATTTGCGTGATGTGGTACTTTAACACGTTCTGTGCCATGGTGACCCCCAACCAAATCGAATTACTGCAGTTCACTCAATTAAACGACGATTATTTAGAAATATTTCTATATTGTAAATAATGCTACCTAATGTGGGGATGTTCAGTCAGAAGAATGTGAAATAATAATAACGCAATTCAATCAAATGATTTAGTATTATATTTTTTCCATTTTGTGTATTTTGCTCTATGAAACAGTGCGGCGTTCAACGGGTTAATTGCATGGACTTTTTTTATGCTTGGATTTGGAGCACACAGGGACACGGTTTTAAATGTCGCCGAACGAAATCATTACAATTTGTGTAATTTCTGATTTCTGTCTCGTATGATAACACGGTTTTGAATAACACGTAGCCAGTTAACCGTATTAGCTAAGGGTTGACTGTATAATATGAAACGAATTCGGTTTATACGCACACCAGCAAATATAGGTACATTTACGAAAAATACACTACAGGGAAATATAAATGAGTTTACGTCGTAACAATTTTAATGCGTGTCTTATAGAAATGTAACTTAAGTCACCTTTAACACTTTGCACTCGAGAGGTGACTCTCACTCACCACTTGATTTCACGTAGTAAAACTATAAAATTTGATATTCAATATTGATTTGTATATAATGCATCGGTGTGTAAAATATTGGGATAAATAAGCTTTGTTTCTCAATTCACTTGCGATTTTTCTTTGAGATAATTTAAAAAAATGTCGTCTGTGTCTAGTTAGAAAATGTTAAATATTTCGAACGAAATACTTCCGAGGGCAAAGGGTTAATTCATTGAACTGTTAAAGTATTACTATTTTCTGGTATTGCCACGCCATTTTCCATAATAATTCCTGTATAATATTTTTGTATAAATTATATTAAACGAACACGTTCAGTTTTAGACTGTAATAATATTTTCTATTATCTCTTCAAGTTTTTCATCGATTTTTGGAAGTGTGCATCTATAGGCTTATTCACTTTCAAGTGACGACGAGTATATTTGACAAAAACAAAGTGAACTGGTTGTCAAATTACAATACATTATAACAAAATGACAAAACTTATAGCAGCTTAAGGAGGTCAAAAGTGCCCTTAGATCGATTTTTCTCGCGAAAGTTTCCTTCGATAGCTTATCCATAAAAAATATTGTATGCTAATTTTCAGCCCTCTACCTCAACCAGGAGGGTAATTACAGAATAAATTCGAATTATCAGTTTCTGCCTAATTTTCCCTATTTAATGGCAAATAAAAATTGTGAAATGTATATCGGTTCTCTATAACTGCTCTGGTGCAGTAACCGGAGTTTTCTCTCTCAGTAAAAAGAAAAGTAGTGAAAGTAGTGTTAAGAAAAAAAATCGCTTTTAAAGCATTAACTTAGATTTCTTGCTCAATAAAATATGAATATAAATTTTACTAACTTATTCTTAGTTATCTAGAGGTATCTAATCTTTATAATCTTTTAACAATTTTTATTTCATTGGTAATCTACTGTTCTCGGTCGTTAGCATCCTCCTTTACGCATACCTTATAGACTGCGTGACCGCTTTTTATATTCATAATATTCGACACAGCTGAAAGTCTCTTGTATCCATTATTAAACTGCCCAAAATTCATGAAGTCCGTTTTATGAACCATTTTGTCATGGTTGAAGAGGATCTTGGTAGCTACTTTTCAAAATAACACGATCGAAAAAACTTTATGTTAATATGCATTTAATTTCAGTAATTATTCGGAAACATGGTTACCTCGCCGATTTTTATCGTCTTGAAATATGTTGTTGAAGGCATACGTATGCCTATAAATGTTACCGCCGTTCGGCCATAGTTTCCGAAATACTCATAAATTTAGGATTTCAATGATTCTTATATATGCCCTGTTATATTTAAGAGTTCAGTGGGTGACATATTAGTCTCTCCGATAATTTCACTCATTAAGAATGATATATTTTCATATGTTTCATTGAGAAGTATAAATGTATCATTAAATGGTAAACTTGTCGAAAGAGTCGTCAATTAATATCGTTTGTTAAAATCTATAAAAATGAGTTCCGCGTAGATAACAAAAGTATATTAATGAGACTGATTTTTCCGAAGTGGGAGTTTCGTCGTAATTACTAGAAATTTCTCCAGTTCGGCAGTCTTGCATGAATATCTGGAAGACAAAACCACAAGTGTAACACTTTCATACGGGTGCAAGATTGTTCGAAATATCGATTTCTACGATACATTTAAAATCATCGAAATCGGCGAGGAAGCCCTCTTTTGACAAAGTTACTCAAAATGATATAGTACCGTACACAGGTATACTTTAACCCTTAGCAGTTCTATGTCGAGTCAAACTCGACATTTTATTTTATTGCAACCTTCACCTGTTTTAACAATTTTTTCTATATTTATTTGTAGCATCACAATTGTACCATTTAACACGTTCACGCCGGCGTGTACAGACAGTGTGTACCATTGATGGCTCATTAGACAGTGTATAGCATGAAATATGTTAAAAGTCTTATTATACCTACTAATACACAATATATAAGTCTCACTATTAATGGTAACAGTGGCAACAGAAATCTATATAATTTTGAATTTGTTACTGTCATTTGGAGTAAGAGGAAGTCTAATCGCCTTCATAATTTCTATACTTCGAAGACCTGAAACGAAAATCGTTGAACCTCCTTCGACGTGATCGTAAATAAACCGCGAACCTGTATTCACTATTGTATATATACTATACACACACATTTTAAATAAGTCACTGACGTAATTGATATTACAATACCGTTATACATACACGTACACGTCGATAGCAAGTACAGGAAGAGCACATAGATATTCTTCGATCGCCACGAGAA